TGCCTGAGTCTTTATATATTGAATTCATTATTTCAATATTACTTTCTAATATTTATTTTAGGACAAGACCAGAGTTGTGTCTCCTATTATTGATGTAATTAATATGGACAACTTCCAGTATGTGGGGGCGTCAGCTGATTTAAAAGGCGGTATGTACCTGTACTGGAATACAGATTTAAAATACGACAGCATCAAGAATCAAAGCTCATAATCACTGCAGTTGTGGCATGGGCAGTTAACATCCTGCTCTTCCCTTTCACAGATCTAGTTTTAAGTTCTGTAGGTCACTTGTTTCTAGGCTTGGATTTTAATTGGTCTTGTCCTCTGCTTTAAAACAGTTCATCTTTATTATACCAATTCTTAAAAGTTTATGCTGCCTTTTACCAATGTGCAAGACTTGCTTCAATGTTTGTAAATACTCAATGTGTAAATGTGTCAGAAGCAGCTTATGGCCAGAGCTTATGATTCTCTTTTTAGTTAAGGCAGACTTTAATTGCTCTCTAACTTTGAAGCCCATTAACAATGCAGTGCCTATGAGTTTTTTTCAAGATGCTGGTTTGCTTAAAAATTAAACTCTTCTGAGTAAGCAGAAAGCTTTGGAATGTATTTTAAAAATAAGTGTTTTTGTTAGCCATGATCTGCAATTGTGAAGAAAGTAACGTGTGACCATGAAAATTTGTAGTGTTTATACTTTTACGAAGTTCCCTGTTAAATTGACTTTAGAATCACTTCAGTTTCACTGTGTCTAGCTAGTGTAAGCTGAAGGCAGCAAATAATAAAAATACTTGTGAAGACCTCAATAAAAATAAATTTTAAATAAACAAACAAAACCTAATACCACCTCCCCTCTCCATTTCCAAAGAGGGAGAGGGCAACCACACACTAAAATCCTTGCTCATTACAAGTTTTAAAATCTGTTTTTTACTGTTAGCAAGAATCTGACATTTTAAGTAGTTGTTCTGCCCTCCTTTCCCCCTCTTTTTTTTAATAATAATTGTTCCCACAACTCTCAAAACTGAACTGTCCGCACAAAGATATGAGCGACGATATAGAAATTACGGAGTGTTGTTCCCACAGTGTTTCAGATTTTTCTGAATGGACTTTCTTGAGTGAGGAAGGAGAACATTTTCCAGCCTGTTCTTTCAGTTACCAGTCTGTAACTGGCCACCAAGCTTTATTCCAGTAAACTAAAATAAAAGCAATATTTGCATAATGTTGCATATGGGTCGTCAGTGATCTGGAGGTGAGAGGTTCTGTAACCTTTTAATTAACGATTTGAAATAACACCTACAGTGCATATATTCACAGTATGCTAATGTATAGTTCTGTGCTATTATCTGTGTGCCAACTTTATTAAAACCTTAGGGCTTTTACCCAGTCTCAATCTCTGTACCATTATGTGGCTTTTGTTGTTGTCTGCAGTAGGAGGAAGAATTCTTTCATTGAAACCTTCAGTTGGTTCCTGCAGGGTTCGTGCTCTTTAATTCTTCCCAAGTGAAGTGGGAGAAGATTGAGAGATCATTTCACTTGTTACTGCTTTTCATGCTTCATCTTTGGAACTACATTTCTTTTTTTCTTTTTTTTTTGATGCTTATTTTTTCACCCCACACATGATAGAAATAGATTCTTTACAGTGCATGAAGCCTCTGTACTTCTGGACTGAGGAGTGAGAAGCTGTCTTTTTTAATGGTAACGATAGAAATTTTGCACATACCAGTCTTTAAAGCTATTTGAGGGTCTGTTGAAACATGAATAATATATCTCTTTTCAGTTCCCAGAGGAGAGATTACCATGTTAGAGGCACTCCAGCATTTGGCATCACGGGACACTTTCACTGGGGCCAAGTCTAAACATGGAAGCCAAACTATGCTTTCAACCTTAGATACGGTGTCTGCGTGACTGGAGCAAGGCGAGTTGAGACAGCTGGAACAGCATTTGTGCCTGATCTGTTTTGAAAGGACTTAATCACCTAAGACAAGCCACCTAGCAAATGCTTCAAACTCCTTAAAGCAGATAGGGCTGAAATAATTCCCAAGTCTGGCCACTGCTAAATCCATGCACTTCATGTTACAATTTTTTTTTTGAGAGGGATTTGGAAAAGTGCTGCCCTGAGAAACAATTTAATTGCTAGAGTAAACTGTCGTTAACTGAGATCTAACAATTTAGAGTATGCTATGATGCACTTTACACTGGATAGAATTTCATACTGGATATGCACTTGTGTTTAAAAATATTCCTTTTACAGAGTTACTGATGTTATCTCATTGAGTGCAGATTTTTTCCCAGAGTCAGTGAAAATGGAGACAGAAAACCAGTTTTTATGGGTAGACAATTTATGCACTTGTTCTGAGCTTGTAGCAGAGTGCTGTGTTCCAAAAGAGACCCCTTGTGTTCACTGGAGTATATGTAACTCTACCACTTCTGCTGGAGAACAGTAGGCTTCTTTCAAGTCCTCCCAGATGCAAGTAATTTTGCTGGGTATGCATGATGAAATGCGACTTTTTAACTGCATGGAAATATCGGAGCTCATTTTACTCTTCATGCTGGAGGCTTTGCAGTACTATAGATTGTAGCTGTTTCACTGTTTTGCTACTTGGAGTTGTGGAGTAGTTGGATGTAGTAGTTTCATTTTTACAGCACAACACTTCATGAAATACAAACAGAGAGAGAAAGAGTTGGCATGCACGCTGTAAAGACTGTTCCAGATAATTTCTGTATTGTGTGTGTGAGTAAATGAGAACTGTTTAGTTTTCAGCCCTCCCCATCAGTCATTGCTATGCACATTTATGGATGCAGACAGACAGTTTGTAGGACTGGTATTGTCTGTTTACCTTAGCTTTTTCCCCTCACAAAGTAATTACTTTATCTTTATGCTGGAGAAAGAAAACTATTGACATCTGTGCACCAGAAATCTGGAAGTCATTCATTACATGACCTCATAGGATCTAAATGTGTTTGGCAGCAGGCAGTCTGTGTAAGGGTGATTTCTGAGGTGGTCTGGGAGAGGGCTACGGACCTTGTGTAGGGGATTTTTTTAATAGGTGTTCATGCTTCTGGGCGTAACCCAGCTCAAAAACTGTTATGAAAGGGTCTCCTATAGGAAGTTTGTCTTACCCGGGTGATGTACTGTTGCCTAAAGGAGGTAATTAAAATGGTTGTTAGATGATCTAGTGGTCTCGTGACCTTTATGTGCTTCAGTGCTTAACTCACAAAAGGACCAGAGCAGCTGTTGCTGTGTGTACATACATAAGGGAAGTAAGATTTTGGTGCTCTAGCGCTTGCCTCAGGTTTAAAAAATGATGCCCTTGGAAGCATGCAGGGGGAAACCAGGAAGTTAAATGAATGCTAATAATGTAAGTGGGAGCTACATAACCTGTTGTGACCTTCATGATAAGAGAGCTCCTGCTGATAGAGGAGTACCAGGAGTACTGCATAAAGCCTATGTAAACATAAATATGTGATCGTTTGATAGGAGTTGAAGTGCAATTGTACAGTAAAGACTGTTTGGAGCATTTGTAATGGCTGGAAGATCTTCATATGTTGCTTGATTTGATGTCAGGATATGAGACGCTGGATTTATATATAAGGCTTTTGCTTTGTCACTTGTTGACTGGGTTTCTTACTTTGTGTAATAGATGGCAGTAAGAGAAATCACAGTTATTTTGTATTTGAGACTACTTTTTTTTTTAAATTGTCCTGTCAACTTCTCTACCTTTCATCTGGACTCCTACTTGTTTGTTTTCTAACCAGAAGATTTTTAATTTAAATTGCAGTTCCCAGTGTTTTCAGTCAATGTTATGTTACTACAAATGGAATGATGACCAAGGTCGTTTTAACATCCTACTCTAATATGTTCTTCTTGAAGGCTTTGATTGGAACCTGGTGTTCAAGTGGGATTACATGACACCAGAGCAAAGAAGAGCCCGGCAAGGAAATCCAGTTGCTCCCATAAAGTATGTCTGTACAACCACTTCTCCCTGTAATAGATTGTAGTTTGCAACTTGACAAAGTTAGAAATCACCTTTTCTGGGTCCGAAAGGGGATCTTTACTATAGCGTTCATTCACATTGAAATGTAATTCGTATTTATGTAGCATTATGAGACTCTCAGAAATAAATTGCATTTTAAAAATACTTTAAAGCACACTAGTAGATTATTTACCCTTAACAAAAAGTAGATGTTGCTTTGTTTAAAGTTGGTATGTTTTGAGGTCTAAAAATACAACATCAGTTATAATTTGCTGACACAAATTGCCACCTGTTACATAGGGAACATGAGAGCCAAATGGAAATTTGGAAACTGCCTTGGAAGGTGGTCATAGCACTATATATGTCACAGAAACGGGTGCAGACATTTGAAGAGAGGTGCAAAATTAGTTACATTCGAAAGCACTACAAATTTTTTTCAAGGAGGTATTAACCTTGAGGTGCAAATTATAAGTTACCTCCCAGTTCATGGTTGTGTAATTACTTAATTTATTTTTTCTCCTTTATTTAGGACACCCATGATAGCTGGTGGGTTATTTGTGATGGACAAATCCTATTTTGAAGAACTAGGGAAGTATGACATGATGATGGATGTTTGGGGTGGAGAGAACCTAGGTACGTATAGTACTTACTTTTGGATCCACTTAGAAAGAAAGCTGGTTTCACCCTTTCCTTTGCTGTCATGGAGTCATGATCTTCCTGATTTTGTGCAAAGAGGTTTAAAACCGGAGTTGAAACTTCACGTACATTATTGGCAAAATCCAAAAGTTTTATTTCAAGGAAAGAATTAAAACAAGGTAGGAATTATGTGCTAAATATGAGATAAATAAAAGTTCATTAAGCGGTGAAATTTTTTTGTAATGAAAGTTGGCTGATTAAAAAAAAAACCCGCTACAAAAAAACCCAGAATTAAGTTAATAAATTACTTTCAAAAATGCTATCTTGTTTGAAAGTCACATCCTCATTCAAAGTTACTGATTAAAATACAGTAATGCTTAAATGCTGGCAGCTGAAGTCATGTTTCAAGATGTTCCTGAAATTTAATCATGAAAAGTAGAACACAGGAGTTCATGAGTAATGTTCTTACATACACTTTAAGAAATCAATTAAAACTTACCTGACTGAAGAATAATCTATTACTTAACATTAATATTACAGTACTGCCTGGCATCTAAACTTAGTATTTTAATTTTACACCCGTGCTTTAGCCCTATAAGATAATTATGATTGAGAAGGCACTTTTTTTTTCCTGTAATTTGTTGTTTTCAGATGTTTAAGTGAGTGTGATTTAGGGAAGAGGGAGGAAGAGCAGAGAGAAATTGTGCTTTACCTATATCTTCTTTGACCTGGTGGCTAGATCTGTCTTTAGTAGGGTTTTTTGGCTCTTTGTGTTACAGTATTGTACAAAGTTTTTCTCCAGTTAAGAGCAGTATGTTTGTATTAAAACAAAAAAGATTTTGGAGGAGCAGAACTCTACAACTTCTGAAGATTTTCAGTCTGTCATTAATTTAGTTTTTAAGATAGAGATGCATCTCAGGCATTTTAATTACTGTGTTTTAAGACCAGTTCCAAGGATAGAAACTTATTTACTGCACGTGCTAGCTGCGAAATCCTAAAATACCTTGAACTTGTAAAAACTCATGAGTATTTTGAGTTACTGAAATATGCCTGTGTGCTGAGCATATGGTTGGCCTACAAGGAAATGTTTGCTGTATACAGCACATGAAGTATGGAGACATGGTAACTAAATGTTTAACAGTTTCTGTAAGGAACTACAGGCTGGAAGAGGATCCTTACAGTCTGGTCTCTGACTTTCCTATGCCATACTCAGAGAAACCTCTTATGTATTTTGAACAATTACTTTCTGTGTTTCTGTTTTCTCACTATTTTGGCTGTGTAGTGCTAAACTGTATTAATATAATAATTTTTCATTTTTTAAATGTCCTGGAAAGTCACTGGATAAATTTACTACAGCACTATTCACATTCACTCTGAAAGGCTCTCTTGCCACTAGAGTACTTAAATATTTGATTAGCTGCAAGCAGGTACTTGAGTGACTGAGTTTTTTCTGAAAGTGGAGCAGCTGCTTTTATGCTTTGGTAATTGAGGCCTTGATAGCAGGAAAGGGCACAAGCAACAACTCCTCACTCAAGGTGAGAAGACTGCATGCAAAAAGCTGTTTATGTTGCTACTGCTGCATTCTTTTTCCCCTCTTCCATGGGAAGGAAGAGATGGACAATTTGGGGTGCCTCTTATCTGCCCCTTGAGAAGGCAAAGTCAGTCAGTACTGACAGAAATTGAATGATCTGTTCATAGCTGCCAGACTAATGGAAGAAGAGTAAAAATCACATAGCATATGATTTTAATTGACAGTAAATGACACATGCACCAGATACTAGAAATCTGTGACGTATAGTTTAATCACACACACTCATCAGGCCTCTTTACTCTCAAGCATATCTTTGGATCAGCAGCTTGATGTTACACGCAAATAATCTGCTAGATGGACTTGCAGAATAATCCTATAAGTTATAGTTATGCTTTATAAAACAGCATTTTTCCTTCAGGCATCTACAGAGGAGCAGTTACATGAGATTTTGTTCATGTGTTAGTATGGTCTCAACTTTACAAATTTCAAGATGAGCCTGCAATATTTTGCCTCTGGGAAATCTATGCCAATTGTTTGCTGTACATTCATTTTTCTTTAAAAATCCACATGGACTTTAGAAGCCATGTTTGATGCAAAGAGGAATAACTTTGCTTCTCCCTGTTTACTAATCCTTTGCTGCCTTTCCCATAGAGCTATTTCTCATAATTTTCACTTTTTTTTTTTTTTTGAGATTGTTCAGAATCTAAGGTGCCTGAAGTTATGCATGTAGGTTTACATTTCTGGGAATTTATGGAGGGAGAATTAATCAAATTGTTGTACATAGTAGAGAATGCTATGAATGATGAAAAAAGTTGATACAAGATATTTCTAAATTATTTTTAATAAAAAAAATTTACTTTTTCAATGCCTCTATACATCCAATAGATGAGAGTGACTTTTTGGATTAAACCTTCAAATGAAAAATTTTAAAAAGAACGAGCTTTAGATATACTGCGTTGACCTTTATTTTTAACCAGAATCTCACTTTACCTCATTTCAAAGAGGTGCATTTCCTAATACTTAAATAAGTCCAATACTAGATTTTGAGCATTTAATCTGCATTTGCTTGTCTAATGCAAAAGCCTTTATCTTTGATCAGGTCCCCCTGTCTTCTTTCACTAGGCAGTCCTCACTGAGTGCAGCATTCCCCTCATATTGAACTAATAACATAAATAATGCTTCAAAGTGGTGCAAGGAAACTGTTATTCCTCTGCTTTCACAATTTGAGCAGTATGGGACCAAATTTGAGCTATATATAGGAAAGCCTGAAGCCTTCTATCTATGTGTAATTTACTGTAGTAGAAACATAGAATGAAAAAAACCAACAAAGCGAAACAACCCAAAAATCACAATTAACGACTGGTCACTGCTTCTGTTAAACAAGCTAGTAACAAGAGCACGTCTAAGCTCAAAATAAAGAGGTGTAAGACTGAAGTCAGTGCTGTAAAAATGTATGGAGAAAATGTCATGTTCAGTTGCTTTAAAAATGTCTCTTGCCTTTTGTCCCATGTTAATTCAAGTGGAAAATCATGACTGTAAGTTACTGACAAAGACAATATTGTCATTAATATATTGGAGGATTATCTGTCTATAGATTGGACTATACTGACTGACTGGGGTTCATGAATGTGTCTATTTGGCCCCAATGCAGCAGAATTTATTACTGAAGTAAAACAAATAGGAAATGATCCCTGTAAAAGCAAAGACCATGCAGAAGAAACGCAGTTAGCTTGCACTATCAACAGTTTAAATCACAGCACTTTTTTATTTTCCTTCTTTTTCTGTAGGCGGACCATGAAGACATACTCTCTAACCTTTAGGGTTTTTTTTTCAAATTTATTTTTTTAAGAAATGCTGTTTTTATGGCATATTTTGTGTATATGGGAAGAAGACTTCTGGGGAAAAGAATAGCACTTAGTGGAAGTCATAAATGGTAGACATTGACTTTAAATTAGAGCTGCTTGTTATGTTTTTTTTTAATCTGTGGAAAGATACGGAGTGGTTATAAAGACGCTTGAAACTAAGGGTAGCGCTCAGTAACTGGTAGCAGCTGCTGGACTAAAGGGGGAATTATCAGAATTGAAATGGTGCTACTGGAAGCACCTTTCTTACTGTGCTTGTTTGGGATGAATGAGGAAAAGTTCTTGGTCAGCACTGGGTGATTTCTACTGTCAAAGGGCTACGTTGGGAAAGGTGTATAAATGGTTTTTCATCTTCTTGTCCTCACTAGCTGGGTCAGGTCACTACATTGTCTTAGAAACAATGTCCATAACATTCAGTTTACAGAAGTTGCATCTTTATTCAGTCTGTCTTCAAATCAAGATTGATTTAACCCCTTCCACAGCCTATGTTTGGGAGTGCTTAGTTAGCTGCTATAATAGGTTAGCAGTTCGACTATTGATTGATTCATCATGCCTTGACTTTGTCCACTGTGTTATTCCATCTTTAGCTGAAAAATGTTATTACAGGCTAGATGATTATTTTATCTCTTAAGCTTATCTACTGTCACTTACCCTTTAGATATAAAGCACAGTAATTGTACATATAGACCTAACTTACTCTGGCAAATTGCAGCGTGGTTTAGGAATCTGGGGAATGCCGGTAACCTCAGATAAAAGAGAAGACATAAAGTTTTGCTTCCAAGTTAATATAGTTATTTTTCCTGATCTTGGAGAAAAATAAATGCTCAGATATGCCTTTGTTTATCCTAGAATTTCTCAGAAAACTCTCTTACTGATCTTGTTAGCTATAATTACTAAAAGCCTTTCCTATAAATAGTGTACAGCAAAATTAGTGTTTTGTGATGTTGGTCTTTCATTCATGTTTTTGTTTCAGAGATCTCATTCAGAGTTTGGCAGTGTGGTGGGAGCCTGGAAATCATCCCTTGCAGCAGAGTGGGTCATGTATTCCGCAAGCAGCATCCTTACACTTTTCCCGGTGGGAGTGGTACTGTGTTTGCAAGGTAACTATTAAGTGAAGCCTTCAGCTAAATAGCAAGGGTTTGGATTTCTTTAAATGATCAGCAGGTGGCAGTAACTGCATTTTGAGGATCTTCTCCTTAGAAATATTTGCAATGCTATCTGGCATGGAAAAATATTAATAAAAAGGAACTTAATGACTTTGAGGCAGTGATACAAATTGAGAGAAGAAAACCTGAAAGCTGAAAAAAGGAGGCTTCTAGTAGACACAGCCTAAGAATCTGGGAAAGCAGAAAATGCTTAGCTTAGCTTGGTATTCTATCAATTTTGAGAACTTTGTGATTATTTAGTTTTAAAGAAGGCTTTATTTTCAGAACTGTCTCATAAATCTCCATTTTATAGAAACAGTTTCTTCATTCACTAAGAGCCAGAATACACTAAGTTTTGAATATGCTTTGCTTGCTTTTTGTTAATACATGGTCAGTATGTGATGAGCAAACAATTATGTAGACCTATTCTGGATTTGTGCCATTCTGTTGGCAACTTCATTCTATAACATATTTGCCTTTCCTGTGCTATATTTAAAAAATGCTTTTCCATTAGCCCTAAGAAACTGCAGTATTAAGGGCTTAGATTAATATTCCTGTTAATTTTGTTCTTAATACAATGTACAGCGGTAGTTGAGAAACTGAGCTATTTCCCTGATTTCTCCTCTCTAGAATGAGAATAGCAATTCTGATTCATGGTCAGTGTTATTTAAGTAATGTGGATGAAGATACTGCATGAGTGTATGGTGGATGATTTGACCAAGGCTCTATCAGCTGTAGCTGAAGAATCACTGTAGGCTTTGGTTTAGTGAATTGGACTTGATGCTCAGGGGGCTGAAGAAGTACAAGTCTCACCTAAAGGTTCTGTGGGTTAAGAGCTGCAAACAAAATTGTTTCTTTATTCTTGCAAGAATATGGAGCCCAAACTCTGGTTAACACAAAGAACACAGACGTATTTAAATTCATAAGAATCTTCTAAGCTGCAGATATATTTAGATTTGTGTTTCACCTTACACTGAGGAACCTCCTTAGAGTATAATTCTTCTCTTCCATGCTGGTTATGCCATGAAGAGGACTCTAATGAATTTAATGCTCTGGTCTGCTAAAATGAAGTCACTATCTTGTTTCTTCTAGTAGTTATAGTAGGGATTTTGCTGGTCCCCTATTCTTTTTATTTTATGCTACAGTGAAAAATGAATAATAGTAGTTATGGGAAAGCAAAAGCTAGCGATGAAATATCCTCTTTATTACATCACATCTCTAGTCCAGTATTTATGGTGTGCATCAGAAGGGTAGAAAGATCTACCAGTTAAACTGTATTATGTAGGCTTAGCGTGCAACTGGTTTAGTTTCATAGTAGGTTTTAAAATGACAATGTCACAACAAGAGGCATGGTTAATAAAAATAAATATATAAATTGTGCCGTTTTCCCTCTCCTCTTCTGCAGCTTTTCCATCTTTGGGCAGTTGCCAAGATGCTGCTCTTCTCATGATTTAAATGGATACTTAAACATAGCTCAACTGAAAAGTAGGAAAAAGGTGTGGCTGTATGTGTGCCAGCACACAGCAGACATCAGAAATATATCATATTAGCAGAGGTTGAAGAATCTGTGTTTGTGCTAGGATTAAAGCTTTTCAGTTTTGTTGTGAACTAAAATCATCATTGTGACTTGATCATTCAAATGTCCTGGCAGTTACAATGATAGGGTTTTTTAAAGTCGTATTGTGTTTTCCAATCATCTGTGTTCAAAAAATGACTTTGAAAAGAGATCTTGCATGTACTTGAATGATGAGGACAGCGAAAGCCTGCAAACTAGTGTCTTGGGTACTTACATTCCTTTCCATATCTACATTTCTCTGCAAGCGCTTTATTACTTGTGCCCTTAGCTGTCCAGCTGTCAAATTCTAAAATGCCATTAAAATTCTTTATTTCATTGGAATTATTTTTGAATTTACCTAGAAAAGCTGCATATTGAAAAGCAGAGTTGACAAGTTGCTTTATAGTTAAAGGTTTCTTCCTCAGTCAGCTTTCTTGGGTGTCAAACCAGTATAACAAAACGCCTTAAAATCAGTTTTAGCAAGGAGAGAATGAGAAACCTATGATAATGGGGTACCCTTGTAATACAGATGATATCAGATGTGTAGGACCATGGTGCCAAGAAACTCGGTGCATGAAGTCTATGCTGCTGTTGCAGTTGGTACTTTTTAGGTTATACCATCATCTGTCCCTTGACTATGAAACTTGTCCTGGAGTGTGTCTTATTTTCAGCTGACTACTCAGTATGCACTGCCTTTTGGCAGCCTAAACAAACTGGTGATTTTGGATGAGAGACCAGGAATCCTGTTTCATGAGAGGGGAAACCACATCCTGGCTGTGTGGGGAGGGCAGATACAGCTTGTGTCTGGCAGGTTTTCTTAGACCAGTAAGTATGCACTGCATTAAAACACCACTTCAGATGAGCTAAAAAATCTTGCAGACCCCAGTCTGCTCTATGCAAACCTGCCTCTGCTTGCTCAGTCCTAGGTTTCATTATTTGTGTCTCAGCATTAAGTGCTGAGTGCACCCTACACTGTGTTCCTCAGTACCCTGCCTTAGAAGCATAGGGTCATTTGATTGCAAAAGACCTTTAAGATCGAGCCCAACTGTAGGGGCCTTCTTTGGGGTCTTACTAGTTTAGTCATTTCTCGGCATCTACATGGCTGCCGTATTTGTGTCACACTAAGCCTGAACTGTTTATCCCCAAGGCCTTGGAAGTGCCTTTGGAGTCATTAAACCCTGGCAAACTGAACAGATCCTCTCTCATCACCAAAATCTGCCTGGCCTGTGAGCAGCCAAGCTGATTGCTGAGGAAGCAACAGGGGCAGGCTGATGCTTACACAGGCCTGAGAGACAGCAAGTGAAGATGAACTAAAATAGCTCTCTAATTTGGACAGAATGGGATTTTGCTCACAAAAAAATTAAAGGACTTTTTGCAAGGAAAAATAAGTCCTCAAACAAAAAAAAAAATGAGGTCTGTCTTGTGACTTTTTCCTTCCCCACATCCTTTCTTCTCAGTGACCTGCAAGAACTCCTCACTTTATCCTAACTATTTTTTGTCTTTTCAATTGGAAAATCATATTAAAGAAGTTACTGGCTGACTGAGTTTACTCCAGTTGCTTTAGATGATCTTACTGCCAAATTTAAAATAACCTTCAGAGCACGGCAGTTGCAAATGAAATAATACTTAATTTTCCAAGTATAAAATTGTGAACAATGGAAGTAAATGAGTTTACATGGAAGCCAGGGGATGGAAAAAGATATTACTCTCTTGCAGTCCAAAAGGAGATTTAAAGACATCAGTTGCTTAAATAGGAGATTTTTAGTTAGAGATCCATTTGATTTACTTTTTTTTTATTTACTTCTGTAAAGAGTTTGGGTTAGTGTTTTTCACATTTCTTGTAATAATTAATCTCTCTTGAATTTTAAAGCATTAAAAACATTTTCTAATTACTGGTTCTCCTCTATTACCTCAGCTACAGCTGACTTGCTTGAGTCATAGCCTGAAACATCACAACAGTTTGTCTTTTTGGAACTGAGTGCTCTGCTAGTAGCAGTAGGATAAAGACTGAAAATATGTCTTGCGTATGTTAGCATATCTGTTTTCAGAAAGATAAAATACATTACTAAATATTGGCAATTGTTGAGATTTTTGTTTCCAATAAGCTTGCTTATCCAGGTGAACACTCACTGAGTTTGGCTTCAGTCAAGTTACTCTTATAAAAATAAAAACAAAACAAAACCCCAAATAAACAACAACCTAACAACTTCCATGAAGTTTGCAGAAAATTCCAAGATGTCTGTTAAATCCTGGATGAAAACCTGAAGCAGTGATGAGTGCGGAAAAGACATAATTTAATTTTGAAATTCATTGATTTCAGTTATGTTACTCTCTAATGGTTTTCTATTACTGCCTGGCTTGAGGCAGCTGTCTGTGTAGTACTAGGAAGAATTAAAATCAACCCGAGGATAAATGTTGTATTTTAACTGAAGCTATTAAAAAAATAACCTATGTGTTTCATATGATTGTCCTTAGAAATACACGCAGGGCAGCAGAAGTCTGGATGGATGAGTATAAAAACTTCTATTATGCAGCAGTGCCTTCAGCCAGGAATGTACCTTATGGCAAGTAAGTCACAAGTGCTGCTTTGCCCTTTTCATTTGTTGTTCATGACATGGCACCTTCAGAGCTGAAATCAGTGCTAACTCTCATGTGTTATCTCTTTTTGAGATAAAGTTCTACTTGTCTTGATTTTCCTGTGTATTCTTTGACATATATGTAGACAGCAGCCTGACTTGGAAAATTGCTCCTTTTTTCCCCCTCTAGTATTCAAAGCCGAATGGAACTCAGAAAACGACTTAGCTGCAAACCCTTCAAGTGGTATCTTGAAAATGTTTATCCTGAGTTACGGTGAGTTTTGGCTGAATCAGAGTTTTCTTTTTTTTTTTTCCCCTCCTCCAAAATGATCAGTTTCTCTTTCTGCTGCATGTGTTTTAATTTGTGAAAACAGTGCCTCATGTGGTCTTACTTGTTTTTGCTTTTTATTAGTTCTGTTCCTAAAAAGCCATTTCTACCTAGTAAGCTGCTCTTTCTTTTTCTACTTACTGCACCTACAGCTGCAGTAGCAAATGTTTTAGACAACAGTGTCCAAAAGACTTAACTTATCTGAGCCTGAAGTTAGTCCCCCTGCACAAACTGTTTCATCAAAAGTGCACTGTTCTGTATCCTGTTGTCATCCCTTTAAAACTTCTGCCTTTGCCTAAGCACGTGCTCAGTGTAGTGAGGAGAGTGAATTCCAGTGCAGTAATGGGGGTCAGCAGACAAGGGGACCTTGTGTGTTCAGCAGACAAGGGTAGATGCTGAGACTCCAAGAAGCTGAGTCTTCTGCTCTTTTCTGTCTCTTGTTCTCTGTCACTGGATAATCACTAACTTTTTGGGGGGAGTGAGAAGAAGGAATGAGGGGTAACATTGCTAACAGTTTCTGTAACATGAATGCATCCCAACTAATGAAAAAAATCTCGGAGAAACATTTTGTTTTTTAAAGATATATAAAGGTTTTTGTTCAATAACCTGTTAATAAGTATGTCTGTCACATCTGAGTCTATAAACTGGTTTATCTGCTGCCAACCTAATATTGGTGATGCAATGGTAAGATACTGTGTGTGGCTTATGAGAATACTTGTTTTTTTTCCTGGGGGCACTTCATGTCAGTGGAGTCAGATATAACTGCTAGTGGCATACAGGCTTGGAATGCAAAAGCACCAGCCATTACAGCCCTAGTGAAACACGTACAGAACCACATATGCTAAAGAGTCTTATAAACCAGGATGATGCTGAGGAAGTAAGTTATTCTGTATTTTCTCTTTAAAGTGCCAGAGGATCTTTATTTTTGTTTAATTTGTCAGAAAAAATACGTCTTGCAGGCTCTCCTGGAAAATGTGCTGCCATAAGCATTGCTTAAGTGTAATGTCATCTTACCCTGTCATCTTTCATGTGCTCACTCCACTGGATTGAATTATCATACTCATATTATAGTCTGAAGGTTTAAAAGGAGCTATTATGCCCTTGCTTTACTGTTTGACATGCACTCATGGACTCTACCCTACAACTGTACTTTGTTGAATGGGTTTGTCTGTGTATTTCCATACTGTATGGGTGCACTTTATGTGCAATCATTAGAAAACAGATATCAGCAAAATATTGTTTTGTTTGCAGATCATATTTTTAAAAGTATTTCTAACCCCATTTCTAACACTTCAGTAAAAACAATCCGGGAAAAATGTAGAATGTCATATTTCTGCAACAAGCTAGGTTGGCTGAAAAAACAGGAGAGCTTGTTGACCTTGACTGATAACATTAAGCTTGAGTGACCTTAAATGATGATGTTAACTCATCTTTCATTTGCTGCTTTTGCCGAGTTTGTATGTTCATCCTCTTTCACTGGTACAAGTCTTTTTGCATTCTGTCCTAAGCTTGCAAGTTTACTCATGTTTAATCAGTTCATGATCTGATAATTGCCTTCCCTTCTCAGAAGATGATTGAGATTTCCAGATAGTGGTCATCACTCGACTTTAGCCTGTCATCTAAAAAATAGTCTGAGTAAAGACAAGGAGTTTAAAAAAAAAAAATTAAGCAGATATTTCTGGTTTTATTTTAGGGTACCTGATCATCAAGATATAGCTTTTGGGGCTTTGCAGCAGGGTACCAATTGCCTTGACACTTTGGGCCATTTTGCAGATGGTGTTGTTGGAGTTTATGAGTGCCATAATGCTGGGGGAAACCAGGTCTGTATGCCATTATTTATTTTTTTTTTCCCCCGAAGTATGTGATCTTAAAAAAAGTGAAACTTTTTAACTCAAGTAGGTACTGTGTACTGTTGATAGGAACGTGAACCCAAATCAGCCGATCCGTTATTGTAACGACTTGGCTAAAAAACTTATCCCTCTTATATAATTTTGCATTTTCAGGACTAGAATCTGAGCCCAGAGATTCCTTCAGTGTGCTTCAGATTATACCCTTCCTTTGTCTTATTAATACTTGTTTGTACACTTGAGGCCAGTAACTTTCTATACAAGTATAAAACTCCTGGAAAGCTTTTTTCTATTAATTGTTGTGTTTGATAGTTTTTGAGGAGGAGGGATTTTTACTTAAGAAAACATTTGGGTTGTATTAAGGATATGGCCTAAGGTCATCAAAATAGAAGACTGCTTTACTGTGATGCCCTATTAGTCATTTCCCGTTTGCAGCAGTGGGGTTTAAAAAAAATTATCTTAAAACCCCACTTGGCTCTTCTGAAAAACAGAGGTGCCTGAGTGTCATATCCTGTTTACTCACAGTCAAAGGGAGTGCTTCAAAAAATCCCTTCTAATCCTACTCTTAAACTAATTGCAAATCTGTCAAATCTGTAAGAGAGAGCATTAATTACTTCAAAGAATCTACTTACGTGGTTGTGACTTAGTTATCGTTCATGAAATACATGCATACGTGCTCATTGTTTTGTGTGCTGCTCTGTCACTAAATTATTTTCAGATTCAGCCTCACTCTAAATCAAATGTAAGATTAATACTTCAAGTACATCTGTTAAAATAGAAGGCTGACCAATTACAGATCTACAGTTGAATGAGTATCAGAATTTTTGGGGAAAACCCTAAAATCAGACGAAGCCTAAAATGAAGAAGTTATTTTCTGGAAGATGTATCATGTTGTTTTGAGTACTTTGCCATCATACATCTCTTTTCCCTATCATCAAAGAGACTGTATCTGGGAAGGCTTTTTCTATTACCCCTATGAAAGTATATTTATCTTTCCAGAACACCAGTGCTTTTTTTTAGGAGAAAGGGTGGACGCATCAGAATTGCTTTGGTGTAGAAATCTTGCAAGTTTCTGGTGATGCTGTGTATTCTCTATAGCTACACAAAGTTATCTTCCTCTTTCAAGCTCCTCTGCCCTGAATCTGACCCTCTTCTCCATGTCATTTCTTCTGTGAAGCTGACCTTGACGAACCAATGTACGCTTGCACTGAACAGGTCCCTGTGAGAGGATGTTCAGAGAGATCAAGAGGCAGAACAGGTCAAAAATGGGCTTTAGGTCCAAGCTGAATTCATATTGGATTGGAGGGGATGAACAGCATGGGAGAAGAGGGATAAGGAACAAATAAGTGTCTTTAAATCTGCACTGTACGTTTTGCACCTATTCTTATCAAGAATATTAAGAATATTCTTATGCACATACACTGCTTGCATTTTTTTTCTTCCTTTGATGCAGTGGAACTTGCTTAATCTTACCTGCATTACAGGTAGTCATAGTCCCTCATCACTAGAGGAAAGCCTCTATACATGGGGTTTCATAGCATGAAGGGCTATCACATAGATGTCTCCAGCAGCAGAGCTTGGACCTGTTGTGAAGCACTACCTTTGGCTTTTAAATGTGTTAATTTCTTGTGGATTTCTGTTGTGTCTGGGGCTCTAGCAGCCTTTTGATGGATGGGTGAAGATGTATTTTCAAGGCTTTAATGTTCTCTGACTGCAGGGTTCTCAGACGCAAGTTGTACCACTTCCTTGGCAGTATTTAAAACTGTCAATATTCAGTATAAATCTTACAAGGGAGCCATCTGTTTCAGGGTCATTTGTGATTCCTGATAAGCTCTGAAAATAACTTACTTAATTCCTTAAGTTGTTAAAAGTGGCTACTAATGATTCTTGTCGATATCTTAGAAACTGGACAGAACTGAGCAGGCAAGTGATTTTGCTGTCATCTTAGATCAACATATTGAGAGTGAAAGGAAAAAAAATTTCAGCTTAAAGGTTTGGGAGACAAATCAAGGGATACTCAGAGTTACCCTGCCTTTGCTTTCTTTTGCATAGTTGTCATTATTCTAGTACTTGCATATGGTAATATGGTACCCATCTAATGGCTTGCTATCTGCACGACGGCGATTACTTGTAATCGTGTGGGTTAGAGGTTCTGATTGTTTCTTGAGCATCTGTTCTCAAAGGAATTGAATCACTGGTAAATCTGGTGAGCTTAGAAGTGATTATGCAAGCCAAAAATTCAGTTATGGTATCAGAATATAAGTAAAAAAAAAAATGGAATGAAATTATTTGTTTAATTTCTTTCTGAAACACTGCTTGCAAAATAACATTTAAATGTAGCCAGGCTTGGCCCTGTATATCCAAGGTTTTTGTATTACACAACTCTGAGACGTCTTTAGTTGCTGGAGAAAAGCTAATCGTGCCATTTTATGTAGTGATGAGCATGATTTGGATAATTAGAGTGGCTTTAGTTGATCGGCTTCCTTCCTCAAAGGATAATGAGATAAATGAAGGCCAATCTGGATCCTGGAGATTTAACTCTGGGGAGAAAGGCATGGAGAGAGTCTGAACATCAGTGCAAGATCTGGGCCTCCACTGAAGTATGCTGAGATCAAATGAGCTGAGCAACAGTGCATAGAGAATGGCTCTTCTTTGCTCTCTATTTAGAGAGTTGGATATTTAAATATATTTTAAGGAAATTCTGTTTTATGTCATAGCTTGGATAGAAAGTAACATTCTCCCTCTAGCCTTGAGTTTGGCCTTCTTGTGTATTAACTAATGGTTGTTTCTACCATATTGAGAAGTACTGTGGTGCATATGCTCTGTTTAGTGTGTGGGTAGGGTCGCCAGTGATGCTGCAGACCAAGCTTTTAGGATTTTTATCGATATAATTATATATACTGTTTACATATATATCTCTACATATATAAATTTCCTACATAGATGATATGGGGTGGGTGTAACACCCACACACAGATAGAAGTATAGCTGGACAAATATTTGGGCAAATATTTTAAATGTGAGGCCTTGTGTGACTGCCTGCTGTACTTGTGTGAAGGCAGCAGAGGGAGCAAACGGCCAGCCCAGCCCTGTGCTGGTGTGGGGATACTGGAGCAGCTGGAATTACTGTGTTTGTAAAGGACCGTTTTTCCTTTCCTGCTCTGTGGAAAGCCATGAACTGTTCTAATGTTCATACGTAGCTATTTATAGGATTTTACCCTGTGCTATATATGCAGAGATAGCACGTGTACTTTGTGCATATGTTAGTATACACAGCTTTGTACACTTTTTTCCCTTTCTTTTTCCAGGAATGGGCCTTAACAAAGGACAAGTCGGTGAAACATATGGATTTGTGCCTTACCGTTGTGGACAGAGCACCTGGTTCACTAATAAAACTTCAGGGCTGTAGGGA